TCCACAATAAAGCATTTGTTTATTAAGTTACAAGATAAACAAGGTGAAGGCAAGTATTTGAGGTCATTTCATTGAATGATTTCATCATGCACATGACATGACAGCCTCACATTAATTTATACGTATAAAAACGCTTCAAGTAACATGAGGAAAATAGTCATAAGAATTAACAGGCGATTCACCTCTTTCGTTTATCTAAAGATACATCGAGTTATGCAGTTATTTATATTACTGTGACTCACAACGAAATTTCAATATCTACTTTAGTATGGAAGCTTTAAAACATCCTGTAGCAGCCGCACTTGAGCTCAGGGTAAATACCATCAATTAGTATCTCATCAATCTTATTGCATTATAGTATGCAGTATTTGATCAGGGTTTTAATACAGACTCCTGAACATGCTTCGTTACCTTTTCATTCTTGCAAGATTAATTTCCATAACTTCCATTTTTTAACTTATGGTAGATAGATAAATATCCTGTTATTTATATACCTGTTATTTCAATTGACGTAAAGCACATTTTGACCAAAATGAGCTATGAGTTCATTCTTACTTTTTTTTCTCTCTTTCTTTTCTGTCTAATTCTCATAGCAATACTTCCATTAATAACGATTTTTGACACATTGAAAATGGTAAAAAACGTAAAGAACTTTATAATTATATTTTGTTTTTAATAGCCCAACCATTTACTATAAATAAAGCTAAATGTGACTTAACCCTAGAAGGCTCAATTTTTTTTGTATGGGTGACAAAAATATATATGATGTCATTAGTGGCTAGTAGTTAGGGAAAAATAATAAAAAAAATAATAATTGCTTATTTTACTGGAAAATCATTTTTTTATTTCGGTTCCATATATGGTACACTGAGCCTTTGCTATACTTTTTAGTTATGAACTAGAACATTTGAATTATTTCAGAAACAGTTTCTTTTTTGAATCTATAAAATAAAATAACCCACAAAATGAAATAACTGATTATAAATAGTTAAAAAATACCTATTGATGAAAATTTCTGAAACAATTGTTCTCTTTATTTAGGCAAAGTTCTACTCGACATTTTACACAAGATATGAAGGTTTATCCCTTGCAACCAGGATATTTGCATCGTTGTCTTTTTTCACCCCAAATAGGAAAATGCTCAAACCCGTCGCGTCTCACATCACGAGGAGGTAAGATCGCTGTATTAGGCTTTTTTCTTTTATTTTCAATTTCATCAGACAAAGAGGATGGTCTACCTCTCTTTTTGTTCATGGATCGCCCACACATGCTTAAACTTTTCCCTACTTCAAATTTGAAATCTTTCTGTTTTAAGGAGGTTGGCGTATGGGTCTGCTCCCCAACTCTTTTGTACAGTAACCAGCTATTGATCAAGTCCCATTTTATTGTCCTAATTTTTATTTTAAATTTCCCTAGGAACGAATCTAGGAGGTCCACACCGCCCATATGCTGGTTGTATGTTTTGATAATTTGGGGACAATTTATTTCAATATACTTTTTCTGTTTCTTGCAGTATCTTTTTACTGTTTGTATTGGCTCTTGGCCCACATAAGACGATGATAAAACTACTGGTTTGTTATCGTACCACATAACGGTGACGATTTCTGTGTTGTCATAATTTGTCACCCATTCTTCTGAATAACCTCTCTGAACCTTGTCTTTTTTTAGATCCTTTAGGGTAGGTATTTTGAGATCATTTCCTAGACGACCTTTATTGACAGTTCCCAGTGATTGAATTCCTTCTTTGGCCAAATAAGCAATCAGTTCTGGAGATGTGTAATAATTATCAAAGAATAATCTGTAATTTTGATTCTTAGGAATGCACCTAGCTAAACGCACTACGATATTTGAATCTTCCTTCTCCTTTTGGTGACAGATACGGAGCCAGGAGCTCTGGTTCTATTAGCCAAGTCTTTACTGTTCTGAGATGATGATCGTCTCGGTGCCCGTGATTGTGTAACGGTACCTGCAGTTGATCCTGAAGTTATACCTGAAGTACTAGGCTGAGGGTCTGACATTTCTGGTTGACGATTTTCGGTATCCATAGCATGAATATCATCGTTGGCAGGAGACGATCACTGACGCCTTGGCGGCAATAATGAAGATTCTTGTCCCTAAGTGATTCAGATAAAAAGTTTTGGATAAACTGAATCTCTTCATCACTATCAGCGTCAGAAAATTCTTCTTTATCCTCACTACCAGAAGGAATATTTAAGCAGTCTTCAATATCCTCATCACGTAATCTTCTTCGCGACATGATCTGTATAAAATCAAAGATATTCATAAGAAAAGGTATCGTAAGTACGTATTATTAAAAACGAGCGCTAAAGCTCAATGTACCATATGTGGAACATAGATAAACATACAATTTGCTAATTTGTTAACTGTAATAACAGAAAAAAATAACTTACCTTTGCAAACCATACACTTATTACAACACACAATATTTGTTTCGAAGTCACAACTATTCAGTTACTATTTATTTTAAAATAATTTATCCACACGAACGACAAATGTTGCACTTACATTCAAATTTCTCACTAAGTTCAGAATAACTAGAACAGTACTGACATCTATACGTAACAGTTTGTATTACACACTTGCGATATACCTGACAGATTTATCAATATCGCAAGAAACGTCGCTGCTAGTATTTTGATAGGTGTAGGAACCATATTGATGGTTGTCCCGCATATGGTACTGGGAGCCTTGTAGGGTTAAGTCAAAGTTTTTAATCACTTTGTAAACATAATAGGGCGTAAAGCACACTTTTTACCCGACTGCGCAATACAAGAGCGCGAGGTGCGACGCGCAGACAGGATATAGTGTTTAACAGTCTATATTTAAAATTATGTTCTTTACTTTGCTTAAATTTTGAGAGCATAAATATCTTTTAAAATGGGTATTGTGTGTTGTGTATTTACCTTTTTAAACGTTTATGTCAATACAATCTCCACCTTATAGACCGGGAGCTGGTGACAGGTGAAGATTCCACGATTTTGTCGTGCATGCCTTTTTAAGGCGCTTTTCCTTATGAAGAGGACGCGCGGGGTTTTGGCCCCTTCGCTCTTCATATGGAAAAGCGGTTTTCTTTGTGTAGCGGATTTTCGTGTTTTACCGTGATAGTATACTGCATGCCATTGTAATAAACGGAAGTTTAAACAAATTAAAGCTGTTAAAATTGATGGCATGCACTCCGCTGTGGCCCAAGATGATCATAGGATTTTGAAAACCTGAACAAAATTAAAGGGCATTTCCGTGTTTTGAAATTGCATGCCGATATAAAGAATGTAAGTTTTTGTAATAAACACACTCTGGAAAAATTGGCATGCACCCCTCGTATGATAACATTATTTTGTTCCTTAGGTACCAACATCGATTTTGTTTTCTAACCTAATAATGAAATCTCAACAAATATAATTTGAAATCTATTTCAGAGATTGAGATGTAATAGATCTGAAATCCCGGCAAATTTTGAATGTCGGTACAGCAGCATCAATATTAATGAGTGTTGCAGCGCTGCCTGGGTGCAGGCAGGTAGCTCTACTATACTGACCTCCAAAAGGTCCTTCATTGACGACCTCCGTGGCCGAGTGGTTTGTACGCCGGGTTTCATGGTGTCGCCGACTCGAGAGGTCCAGGGTTCGAATCCCGGTGGGGGCAGATGTTTGTGTGATGAATACGAACATTTGTACTCCAGTCATGGATGTTTAATATCTATTTCTATATAAATATACTTATATATGTACAGTTTATGTATTCTATCCGTTACCCTAGCATCCCATAACACAAGCCTTATAGTGCTTACTTTGGGGCTAGGCTAATTGGTGTGAGTGTTGAAATATTATTTATTTATTTTATTTTATGAAAATTAAATGAGCTTTAAGATGGATCTCCTGTTTTCTTAACAGTTTTGCTAACGGCGATTGGATAAACTTGATTTGGTAACACGTTTTGTTAGAAAATTGGCGCAGGAGGCTTTACGTCTATAGTTTAGGAATACTTTTCGGGCTCTTCGTCTTTTGCCATTTAATTTTCCCATAAGAACCATATTGTCTATGTTGTCGGGCTTTCTCCGTGCCATATGACCAAAGTAACCAAGTGCTACGATGATGATTGCTACTATATTTAAGACATTTAGAACTAAAAAATGCCGATTTATTCTTCAGACTATTACTCACATACTCATTTTAAGACATTGACAACACACGTTATTTAAAATGACTTGTAGGCTATGTATGCTTCACCACCTAATCAACAAATAAAGTTAGTTCTTTAGAGACTCTTCAGACTGATCTATACGATATATATATATGTATATGTTATAGGCCAAGTGATTAATGCGGGCAGTATTCATAATGCCAGGGCAGTATGAATGAATGAATGAATGAATGATTTATGTAGTATGAATAATGCCCAGCCATATCGGGCCAAGTGATTAATTACAATCTAAACTCACCTATTTATCACATTGCCCGATCATTATTAATAATGCCGGACGGCTCGATAAGTCACTGTTTGAGATAGCTTGAATTTATCGCTTGGACCGGGCAGTATGAATAAGTTCAAAAAGTTGCTATTGTCTCGCCATTTTGTTTGTTTTGAGATCTTGGTAAATAAAAATAGAAAAGGTAAATGTGGCTTTACAACAGTCTTTAATTCAGAACCGATTTGGTCAACCCCGACACGCCGTGGTCTTGGTCTGCCCTACCCCTAGAGTGTTTTTAGAGCCCGGAGGCGCGGAGGGAGAGTAGCCCCCGCCTGCTGTGACAAAGCCGCAAGAATCGTGCGACCCGTAGCGCCTGAGGCTGGTCGGGATTGCTATTCCCGCAGCGTCGATCTTAACGATGTTCCCGCTGATGAAGCCTTCGATGCCATCATGGATGCCGAGCACGTTGTCGCCGTGATAGATGCAGTTGCGCACCGCCGCGTTATCACTCAACAACAGAAGTAGAATGTAGACTGATATTCATCTACACAGTCAAATGTCAGTTACTTACCAGTCCATCTTAACGATGTTCCCGCTGATGAGGCCTTCGATGCCGTCATGGATGCCGAGCACGGTGTCGCCGCGGTAGATGCAGTTACGCACGAAAGAGCGCACCGCCGCGTTCATGCCGCACGCGGGCGCGCCCACGTGCATTAACGCCAGTGTGTAGCCTTCCTAATAATTACATTAATATCATAAGATGTTGCCCTAACGGAGAAGTATACGCAAAGCTCAACATAGATAGCGCTGCAAACGCTTGACCCAAACCACAGCCGAATATTGCAGCAGTCAATTTTTTAACTAATTTTTTTGTTGTTAAAATTATGAAATAAGTGGTGAAAATGTATTATTCAACATGATCTGTAGTACAGCTGAAAACAGTGTTGAAAAGAAGAGGAGCATCTGTGCAAGGCAGAAAAGCTGATCTTGGAGAAAGGTACTGTTTCTATTATTATTGTAGAATGCTCATTCTTGGTACATAGATGCATTTACCATGATTATTTTAATAGTTCATGGATCTCAGTAACTTTTAGCGGGCTCATTAGTGAAAGCTCTCTTATTTTTACATTATTCAGACATCAAGACAAGCTAATAGGTATGTATTTGATAGAAGTTTTGGGTCAAGCGATTACAGCGCCCCTAGTGGCCAAATTTTACAGATTTCTTGTTCTGCGATGCAATCTCATCGTGCGATGAAAATAATATACCTGTGCTCGTGCGACAGCTTACTAGCTGTATTAGGACACTTCTGAAGAAATCTGTATGTTTGAAAATCATCGTACGACGAAAACGCATCGTGTGATCATTCCATCGTTGCCAATTAGAACGATGCCTTAGGCGTCCCCATAAGGCTCACAGTTAGCGACTGACTCTGAGCGGCGTATCGGCCTTAACTCAATGTCAAGTAAGCGGCGAACTCTTGGGATATGAAAATTCTTTATCTCGAAATGATCGTTGATTTGGAAGCAATAAATAAAGATAAATAAAAATGCTCAACGTGTAGCTTCGACCCACTCCAATGAGGATGTATACGCAAAGCTCGACATAGATGGCGCTGAAAACGCTTGGCCCTAACCACAGCCGAATATTGCAGCTGTCAAATTTTAAACGTGTTTTTTTGTTGTTATAAATATTGATTAAGTGGTGAAAATGTATTCAACATGGTCTGTAATACAGCTGAAAACAGAGTTGAAAAGGAGAGGCAAGGCAGAAAAGCTAATCTAGAAGAAAGGTACTCATTCTATTATTATGGTAGAATCAGTGGCAGACTAAGCCCGTCAGAGGCCCGGGGCGGCAAAGATGAATGAGGCCCCCAGCTTTAAAAAAAATGTAGATTCTTATGTTAATTTCGTTAAAACCAGTCTTGTCAAATTCACCATAACTTTGTATCAGATTGTCAACTGCTACAGCCAGAGCGTCATCTGAAGCTTCTAGCATAGACTTTGTTTCAATAATTTGGAAAATGTTTTTGATTTGTTTAATAGCACAATTCGAAAATTCTTATATAAAGCGATCTATGCATTCATACATTGACCGACGTATCTCTTCTTGAATTGATAATCCAGCATCATGAGCTGATTTACCCGGCATCGTTCTTTTTACCTTCACTTTTCCTGGTTTCTGGATGTTGATGAACCACCTAAATACTTATTCAAGGAGTCTTGTTTAGGATTTGATCAGGGTAACGTGGAGGCATTTGGGGGCCCCCAAAGATCGGAGGCCCGGGGCGGGCCGCCCCTTCCGCCCCCCTGTTAGTCCGCCACTGGGTAGAATGCTCATTCTCGGTATATAGATGCATTTTTCATGATTATTTTACTAGTTCTTGGATCTCGGTAACTTTTAGCAGGCTCATGAGTCAAATCTATCTTTTTTTGCATCAGTCAGACATCTCATTGAGTTAGGTTACCTCTGGCTAAAATGGAAAGTTTAACATCGGGTTTTTTTACAGACTTGAGGCATATGACCACAATTTTAATTTTGGGTGCAGTTTTTTCTGATCAAAATGTAGACATCCAGATGCAATTACCTGCCCCAGATACATACCATGATGTAAACATCAGCTCAGTTTTACCCCCCTTTCAAAGCATCATATAAAATTTTATTTTAGTCGGTAAGCATGCAGTATTCTCACAACAACCAGGAACTGCACAACCCGGATTTTCTAATTTGTTTAATAGAAAGCTTAAAAAGAAAATAAGCTAATAGGTATGTATTTGATAGAAGTTTTGGGTCAAGCGATTGCAGCGCCCCTAGTGGCCAAATCTTGCAGATTTCTTGTCCATTGATTCCGCGCGGCGACGGCGCGTCGTTATGAGCTAACTAAGCGGCCGACCGCGAGCATCGTTCACTGCGACTTAGCCTCTACCTGAATGAGTCTTAAAGCGAAACGCCGCAAACTGCGTCCATTTAAAACCACTCCATTTAAAATATATAGGAAGGCGAACTAAAGGTCAGCCTCTAACTGTCAGCCTAACACGCATAGAGCCTATGCTCAGAATGCGTGCAGAGTGCGGGAGCCCTGGGAATCCACACAAAATTCCACAGGGGCATCTACATATAAAGAGCTTGTGCAATGCAAGTCTCACCCTCCCACGAAAAACCGATAATGCTATAGCTATCCCTGAAAATTGAATTACTTGATGCCAGTCGCTATCGCAGCCGGCCCATTGGTGGCTGTTAACTATTCCAGATGCAGCCGGGACCGACGCCTTCGCGTGCCTTCCGAAGCACTGAAGAGCTCGAGTTAATACATTTGTTAATTCGATCATTTAGATTTTGTATGGTCTGCTAAGTGACCAGGATATTGGTTAGGCTAAGATCACATTCCATTGAGACTCACTTGATGCTAAGAGCCAAGCTACTCGCTTAAGAGTCTAATCGTAGTAAACAGGCGTATTGCAAACAATCGCAGAATGCAAATTACCAAGTCATATATTAATTGGTAATTTACATTGCTCAGTTCGTAGATTGTATTTACATTTGCAAAATTTAAATACAATCTAGGAACAGTGAATAATTTATAAATAAGTTTTATTTCATTAGCTTGAAGAAGATTAAAATATTTTGATCTTACAGATGGTTTTCCGGCCGCATCGAAGGCTTCCTTGGGAGGCTTTAGCCGCGTCAACATTTTGTAAGTCTCCAAGTTGCGGGCAAAACTGCGCCCGCGCAGTTGTACAGCCAAATCCCAATTCTTATCCGCCATAGCCTAAACCAACAAGAATTTATTAGTTACAGTATCTAAATACTACAGTATCTAAATATTTCGAATATATAATATATAACGAATTTTTCATTTTTGGTTGATTGACAATCAACCAAAAAATTACGAAATTAAAGTGCGGCAAACTTTGAGAAGGGGGGGGGGGTACGTGACATCCCTTCTAAGTAAAAATTGGACCAAGACGTGACGTCATGCGACATTTTTAATCAATATATCTCAGTAATATTTTAATTAAACGAATTTTTAAAGAAAAAATACGTGTCCAATACTATTTGATAATAACATCTATCTGATAGACGAAGAAAAAAATTTGTCATCATCCCTAGGGGGCGTCCATAAATTACGTGGGATGTTTAAGGGGGGGAGGGAGTAGAGTCAAATCTCATCTAATCTTACGTTGAAGAGAGGGGGGGTCTAGGCAAATATCACGCATTTTTTTTCTGATTGAATCAAAAAAAATATATACTATTTTGGTCCATTGAATCCAGATTGTACATGCTTAAGATTTAATCTTAAGCGTAATCGTAAGATTACGATCATTCACTAATTCGTTCGAAAGAAAATAATTTCATTCATATATTCTATTGTAAAAAATTTATTACACTTATAACTCTCAGCAATATTGGTTACTAGTCTAAACTAGTCGTAAATAAAAGCACGAAGCATTTTTTTTTCTTCTTACAATAACAATCCAATGCGTTTACGTAAGAAACCCACATTTTCAAAAATCTCACGTGAGATTGGGGGATGGGGGAGAGGGTTGAATAAAATCTCACGACATCTCACCAGGGGTGGAGGGGAGGGACAGAAAATTCAAAAAAACACCTCACGTAATTTATGGACGCCCCCCTACAAGACAACGCGTGACTTAATGAAGCATTCAATTATTTTTGAGTTTTTAGTAAGGCTGTTAATTCTTTATTTGTAAGGAAGATCATCACCAGACTATAATGTCCCCACTGCTGGGGCACAGGCCTTCCTCATGGATGGAACAAGGAAATTGGGCCATGAACCACCACCAGTGTGGATTGGTAGGACTTAATGAAGATCAATTTTTCATAAAAATTACAAATTATTTTTTAGTCAGCGGTAAATTACCTGAGCGACAGCCTTTGTGCGTCGCACGCACTCCATAAGGGGAAGCCTCACAGCTTGGTTGCCGTCCAGTGTTACAACACACGGCTCCGTGTCAGGAGTGGCTTCCATTAGAGCCATCACAGCTTCGGCACCCATACGACAACCCTAATACCAAAGTACAATTGGGATAAAGAATCAATATTGTAGTAATCCTGTAGTTTGTTGCCAAACACAGACCCCCTTAAACGAAGAATAGTTAAGCTTGGATTAGTTACTCTATGTTTTGTCTCTGTTCGTTGAATTACAAATGGCACTTGAGTGATATGAACAAAACTGGTCTAAGCTTATGTACTCCTTGTTTATTAATAAGGGAGAGAGAGCGCCAGCTGCAAACAATCTGGTACTATTAAAGTTTGACTAAAAAAACAAATTCTCCTCTTTCTGATGACCTGTTGTTGTGACCGGTTTCTTTCGTCGGACTAAAATATATCTAAAAACTCTTATATCTTGTAGAAAAGATTAAGTTTATAGGTTTTTGGACTAAATTAATGCTGGACGCCGGATTTGTGCAAGCAGAAACGGCAACACTCTTTGACTTAGTAGGTACGTTCATAACCATGAAAATTGTATTTTAAAACTAAATATTATTCAATGAGTACTTACATCGAAGTGATCTTTTCAAAAAGAAAGGACTTTCAGTCGATAAAGTTAGAGGATTTAGCAAGTTTTAAACATGTGTTCATGTGTAGGTATGTTTATTTCTCTAGGTAATTTAAGCTATAACTTTTCTGGAGTCTTTAACGATGTGTTTCTACATTCTCGTATAATTCAATCACGATAATTTATCTTTTTCGTGTAATCTATCAGAAATCATGGTTTTATAATATTGACTAAGATAGGTAATTTCCTACGAGCTTGCAAGTTTGTTTATAAATATTTCGTCGTCATAGCATAGATAAATCTATATACTAAAATGGCTTACAGCGTTTTTTATGTCAATGAATCAATCAAAAATCTATTCGGACTCATCGCATCTCGGAGATATGCGCGGACAACAATAAGAAAACATGTAATAACGAATTGAGAACCTCGGTGATTTTGATGTCGGTTAAAAACGAACATTACGTTAAACATTGTATTTGTAAGTCAATAAATTTTCATTTTTTTGTCATTTTAAAAAAAAAAATTGTATAAAAACAAACACATTTTTGCAGAAAAGCTTTTTATTCATTATAATTCAACCCCATCCATTTTCCTAATAAAAAAAGTATTTTGACTGTTTTTGAATACGCATGGACAAATGCACATGCATTCGGAGTCTTTTGCAGTGTCCCCACCCTGCGGGGTCCATACAAAATCTCCCATGGACTTTTATCTAGTGATGTATCATATTTGTTATTTTCGATGTTCTGATTACTTCCAATAAGATGTGACGAGAAATATGGCCTTGGCTTATATGGCTTAAACGTATTCGCATATGAATCAGTAAGTAAATGTAATACATAGTTATAAAATGTACTATGTATTACATTTTCATTACTTTACTAGTGTATAATATTTCCGACTCAATTTCAACAACAGATTTTAATGGACGACTATTTTATCATTGAAGTCAAGATACATTTTCTTAACCCTCGGAGACAATTGCGTGCCAATTGACTCGTCGGACTCGGACAAATTGGGCAGATGAGAGCAATAATAAAAAAGCGTAGCTATACCTAACTTTTTTGTCACGAATATTCTACTATTAATATATTCATTACATCATCAGAATTGCAGTGCCACTTTTAATGTAAATTTTCCACTAGAATTGTAACACTTGTTTTGAGAAGTAACTACGACCCTATAGTTAACGACAGTGGAATACTTAACTACCCTTTAATGGTGAGGAGTTGTGTTTTGTTGGTGAGTAAGGTTCAGGGCTCTATAAGAAGATTGAGCTTAACCCGCCAAAATTATGGTTGGAGCGGTACACTGTCCATTGGGTATTACCAATACAATACAGATTGGTTGTGATGTGGTAATTTGCTTTGTATAAAAAAATGTTTTGGGAGCGGTTTATAACTGAAGTGATAACTATACTGTAGCGGCGATTACCTCACAAAAACTCATCTCATCAACGACACCCTACACGATTAGGGCAGACAACAAAATAAATTAACATGTCTAAATTGTCCACTGTCGGTGTGACTAATATGTATATCCATGTCATATAACAAATTTCTAAAACTAAGAGAAGCTGTGCTAAGCTGCAGACAGACGAAAGCATGGACTAAGCGAAACTATAACAGTTTCTTGTTGATTCGGACCGGAACTTCCTAAACATTGAGCATGATACAAATTCAAACTGATTTACTATTCAGTAAATCGATACCAGTTCAGCCGTCTAAAAATCCCTGACCTACGGATAGACGTAGCGATACTATAAGGGTACCTTGTTTATTCGGATTAAAAACTGAAAAATAGTGAGTAGGTACAATGCAAGTCAAACGTGCCTACATAAAAGTTAAATAAAAAAGCAATGCTCACCAGAATTCTATCGAATGCGGAAGGTGATCCACCTCGTTGCACATGACCGAGCACGGTGATGCGTGTGTCTTGATGAAGATTGTCGACCACCACCTTCTTCACGAGTTCGGCGGTGATCGGCTTACCTTCGCGGTCTATCGCGCCTTCCGCTACGATGATAATGTTGAGACGCTGTCCAGATTTCCTTTCCTATTCAGTTAAATAAAAAAAAATTGCAATGTACAACAAAAACACTGAAAAACAATACCAAGATGCCTATCCAGCTAGTCCAGGAAATGAAGCTCAAAATAAGGCAAAACCTCGCATTTTTTTCGTTCTACATCGATTTGCATAAAAAATTGAAATGAGGCTCATCTTACCCTCTCCTTAAAATCTATATCATGTCGATGGGCGCTGCTCGTTTTAAAGGGAGAAAATTACCCCTAATTGTCAAAACTAATGAAATAACATTTTAAACCTTAAGATTTGGTTTGGATGAGTTCAATAATGATTGTTTTTAGCTTTATAATACAATTTCAGAATATTTTAACACTCAAAAATCAACGCTTGTTAGAGTTTACTCTTAGATTAAAAGAAAAAGGAAAGATACGGTACACTCATACTAGCATCAAATAACACGTCTGTAAATAACCATTCAATCGAGCGAGCGAGACAGAACTGTACGATCAACGCAGCACGAGCGAAACGGCGAGTCCGCGTCAGAGTCCAACCGGCTGAGCTATATTGTTGTCCATTTCTTGATAACAAAATGGCGATTACGTAAATAACATTCACAACAATATGTGTCTTTTGATAATTTTTTTTTTACTGTTTTACGAATGAAAACTGTTGCCTAGGCATCTGTTAAAGCATCCCAGGTATTGTTTTATCTTTTTAACACAGAATAAACGCAATTTTGTTATATTGAATGCAGATGCAGCGTGTTTGAATGTCGAATTGTGACTAAAGCGAATTGTGGTCATGCACCACAATTGCGGATGAAGTTTTGAGCCGCGAGTGCCGTATCTTCCCTTTTTGTTAGAGTTCCATCAAATGGCAAAAAACGGAACCCTTATGGATTCGTCATGTTTGGTTCAAATTGGTTTGAACGAGATCTAGTAAGTAGTTTTTTTAATACGTCAGAAAAGTAAGCCGCAATTTACCTTTAAAAAAATACACTATTATTAAAACATCCAGCAAAGATAGAACGAACTACAAATACTTTTATATAATGTTACTTGCTGCTGCGGAACCCTTTACTGGAGAGTCCGACTGGCACTTGGCCGATTTTTTTTAATCTAGGGAGATGCCTATTATGGGAAGCACTTTTTAGTAAAAAAAACCGATTCCGGGAAATTCCAATTTAAGTGTGTACCTACTCCGTGAAATCTAATAAACCCAGATTGATACAAGTTACAGTATCTATGTGCGTATTACATAAAAATATTGTGTAAGATGTTTGTTAAATTAAATTTATGTTTTTGTTTTTATTCCACTCCACCATTTCTCTTACATCTTACAAACACACATACGAAATTAAAAAGTAACTGTAAGTATTAGTTATGCAATCTAGGAATCTCAGGATTTTATTTTTAATAAAATATCCTAAGTATACGCTTCCATAATTTGTTAGCCAAAAAATATCTGTAGGCCAATATGCATCCGATTATCCCATCTCTACTCATTAACTACCCCTTACAACATTGCAATTCTTTAAAACTAATTTAATATTTAGATATGAATTGGATATGCTTAGATATAAATACGAGAATTACATACAAATTACCTACATACATGCTAAAAATAAAACTTAAACAAATGCAGATAAAAAGAAGTATTTTACATTTCATAATTAATATAATCATCGTCGTGATCGTCGTCGACTCCAAATATTAATTTGACTAAAGATAAAAAAGGAGTTTAATTTTTACTTTTCGGCGGTTTAATTTTCTTTTTTAAAGTATTGGTTTATTTTAGATTTTTTGTGGCTATAATTTTTGTAATATACAACTCGGCTTCAAAATCTGTGAGTGAACAATCAATTATTCCATGTTGTTCCTTAGGTTTGGATTTTTTTTTCAAATTTATTTGACACCAATTTCGGGGTATAATTTAATTAAAGAAAAGAAGAATAAAAATTTCAACAATCCCTTTCCAATAAAGAAAGAATTATCAAAATCATCCTACTTTGTAAAAGTAACTCACTGATTAGAATGTGTGACCACACATTCTAATCAGTGAGCAATGAATCGTCCCGTTTTCATACCCTTAAGGTATGGTTTTTTTCGAAATTCATATGGGACCAACTTCGGTATTATACCCTTTCTAATAAAAAAAAAAGAATTATCAAAATCGGTCTACTTTGGGAAAAGATATGCGTGGTCATACATAAAAAAAAAACAAATATACGCGTCAACTTCAGAACCTCCTCCGTTTTTTTCGTCGGTTTAAAATAACTCTACATACCTAGACACAAGAGCAGAGCTTTCTTCCCCTCTGTATCTTGAAATAAATGTGAAATTTGGAATGGGACTGCGAAGTATACCAGTTAAGTAGATTAAATTATGCTCGGAGCTATGTTTCTCCTTATCATTGTAATTTTAAAAAACATTTTTGTTTAATGTAAGATAGTGAGCACCTCACTCTAAAATATTTATTTTCTGGAAAATCCACGCAAAATATTTGTAATAAAAAAAAGCTACAATTAGTGTTCTATATTTTTTCCGAAACTAGTATTTTTGGAGTTATTTTGAAGAAAAGCGATATTTTATTCAAAATTGCGACAAATCGTTTTTCACTTTAAAGCTCAAATTTTTCTTGAATTAAGCTTTTTAAATTGACAAAATTTCTAGGATGTATTGATAATACATATATAAAGAGAATCGCAGAAGAGCCAAGATCAATTTTAATTAAAAGGGTAATTAGGAGGTTGTTTTTTGAAGTTATACTTCTTTAGGCGCGTTATAAAAAAATGATGAGAGTGAAATTTTAAGATGCGCGCGCATCACTGTAACACAAAATTTTAACACCATGAAGTTCGTCGCTAAAGCGACCAACTTCATGCGTTACTTTTGTGTTTACCGCACATTAAGAAAATCTACCAACAAAATAGAAATAGAATCTCTATTTAGTGGGTGCTAACGACTGCATTGTGAAGGCCTATCAAAAGTATTTATTAATCTGGAACAACGGAACCAAAGCGCGATTCAGGAGACTACAGCGCCATCTCTTGACCATTGGTGTAGTAGAACCAAAAACCACATCTTTATTTTTTGTAATAAAGTAACAGTTATAGGTATTCATATTTATAATATTTATCCACATGTTTCTAGTTTGTATATTCGGAATACGTGTTTGAGTTTCATACAAGTGCAAATCACATATGTTCTAATAAATTATATTCAGTAGCGATTTTTTATTAATTTATTGTAATTAATTATTTGCATGCAATTAAAAACTAATTTTAAACGATGCCAAAGAAGGATAACTTCTCACGCGCCTACATAAGTACACGCACCCATTTTTTTTAATTGACTTTATCATAGGAAAAAGTAGCTACCATCTTTATTTTTATCATAACTCGCTCAATTTTCATGACTGTTCCTTTTTTAAATGAAAGGTAAAATTTATATAGTTTCAAAAAGATTCTACATAAGTTTTCCTCGTAAAATGCACAGATTTCCCGCTATTTGACTTTGAATCTTTCAAATTTAGTATTTTATGAACAAAAGCTAATCATTAACAAGTCCTAGCTCGGTCCGCATTGGTTGCAGGGAAATTATGCTAAAAGTTATTTTTTTTTGTTTTATTAAAACCTATAATTTCACTCTACAGTTTTTTTGATAAAAGGTAAATTTTCCGAGTTTTCGTGAAAAACCCGTTAAAAACGACGATTTTTCGTCGCAAAACTGTTAAAAAAGCATTAGTTGTACGAAAAATTATAATAAAAATATTACTTACTCAGAATATTTTTTTGACGGATTTTTGTAGTTAAAAAGCATGGACGTATAAAAAACTTTTTTTTATAAGTCCATGGTTAAAAAGCATATAAATACAAATGATTGATCTCGCTACGAAGTAATAAAAAAATTCAACTCCCGAGATGGGGTGGCAATCACGCCCAGTATCAAGCACCTCTCGGCATGATGTATATTTTGATCCTCGGGTTATTCGCCAAAAAATTTAAGCAAATCTATGTATGACAAAAAAATTGCAACTTAAAATGCTTCCATTTCCTAGACTAAGTGTATTTTGCAAGTATAACTTAATGAATGCATGCATAACAATTTTACATTGCACAATAATTTTTAAAAAGTTTTACCTTAGAAATATTAATAATTCATATCCAATATACTACCAATCTGTTAAATGATAAACATAGCTAATCCAAACAACTAACCTATTATGTTTCACATGTAAATAAGGTATAATGTGAAAATAAAATGCACAGAAGGAAGAGACATTAAACAAAGACCAATATCCAGGTACACCTCAAGCACAAGAGAACATTCAACAGAATTATTAACACAATCTCAAACATGTAGGAATCATGTGTTCATGTATAACTGAAAAATAATAGAAAATACGTGCAATAATTATATTGAAATGTGAAATGAAATAGCAATTAAGAAAATAAACCCACACTATAAGCAGAACATGAAAATAAATAATATATCAATTGGACATAAATAATTAAAAATCAGCTTATATCTTGACTAGCTATTGACAACATGTTGGTATTGAAAATTAATTACTACACAATTAATATTATCTACTAACTTATTCATAATGAGTTAATACGGCATGATTTTTAGGATTGTTAAATCTTAAAGCAGCTGTTACAATGTTTTTAATAATATTAGATGATTTTGCAATAGCCAAATGTAATTAATTTCCCAAGATAAATTGTAAGATATTGTGCATTATAGATTTTCAGTGCCACTCAATTAAGCCTGCGTACCTGCTGTAATCTTTTGCAAAGCTTTTCAACCCAATTATTGGGAACAGGATCCTCTGGAATGAATACTTGGTCTGCCTCACTTGCCAGAGCAGCTACTAATGCCAGATAACTGCAACAAGCAGTATCCGTGCATAATGGATCATGCATAAATGAGCCCCATCAATTAACAGGAGAGGAAAATCATGGTGTGATTTAACATGGATGGATACAATAAAACCATGGCATAGCAATGGAGATTTAAAATCCAGTGAAATGACATAGAAGGCGAACCTGCTCCCATACAAATTAAATGAGATCCTTGCCTCTTTTATTTTTGAACACAATTTTTGTTCCCAATTGGGTGGCGCTGGGTCTTCGCAAATAAAACAATAAGTGGCATCTGTACTTAGGGCTGTGAAAACTGCAAGAAAACTAAAGGATGTTCATGTTATGGAAGAAAAATAGGGAAGAGAAAAACTGTTCTAAATGTATTTTTTTACAATCAACAAGGGCATGGTGTGCAATTGATGTTTTCTCTTGCCTGTTCTAGCTTATCACATAGTTTCTCTTTCCAGTCATGAGATGGCGGAGCTTCAGGTATAAACACATAATCTGCTTCAGATGCCAAGGCAGTGACCAGAGCAAGATATCTAAACCAACAAACTTTTATTAAAATATGGTTTAGGTTGGTATCTCTTTTACTATTCGAAATGTGTGTAAAAGTATGTATGTAATTCAAGCTTATATCAGTTAGGAATGATTCTTTACTGTTATAAACATTTCACAAGACACACCTTATTGTATTGCAAAAAATTAGGTTAAATAAGAAAATATGAAATTCAGGTAATCCTTACCCACAATGCCTGCCCATGACCTCCATAATGAAAGTACGCTGGTGAGAGTATGCTGTGCTTACAATGGCATCAATAGCTTCAATGATGCGATGCAGAGCAGAATCTGTGCCTATAGTCATATCTGTACCACAGAAGTCATTATCAATGGAACCCACCTAAAAATAATATGTATTTATAATCTCTATGTTGGTTAAATTTATATTTGTAAATAATGGTTGTCAAAACTAACCAGAGAAAAAAACTAAGATATTATCTAAGCAGTTAATTCGAACTGCTGAGTTAAAATGTATAAAACATATTTTTCTCTAGCAAAGAAATATTAAAAATTTTAAAGAGAAGCAAATTTCAAAACTCTAATTATTGTTTGTAAAATTAACCAACAGTGATTTAAATGCCTACATAAATAAAATAGTTTCATGGATAAATAATATTGATACTAACCATTATCAATATTTGATTTTACTGATACAAAATATAAATTTATTTTGTAATTAATTATTTATAATCAGTATAACATAGATGTATTAAGATATATACACACAAAACTATCACAATATCCTATTATAAATTATCAAATAATTACCATTCCAGCAATATGCAAATGCTTGTATTTCTCTCTTTGGTCTTGGGTGATCTTGTTATTTGCAAGAAGCTCATCAAGCAAGTTTGACCATTCTTGGCGAAATAGGTTAGCACCAGTGAGAGAGCCATCACCACCAATGACCACCAAGTTAGTTATTCCACGGGTAACTAAGTTGTAAGCAGCTTTTAAACGGCCCTCCTTAGTCCTGATTTGTAAAATGCATGACTCAAAATGAAATATCAAAACACATTAGATTTATCTGACAGCCAGCACGGTATAAAATGATTTTCATTAAAAAGACAGTCAATAATTTCAACTTACATGAAATCCATACAGCGCGCAGACCCAATGATTGTACCTCCTTTGTGGATAATAGTGCTCACAGACGACCAGTTTGCCTCTTCAATATTGTCTCCTCCATCTACCATGCCTTGGTATCCTTCGCGTATAAAATAAACTTTACATCCTAAATAGATACCCATGCGCACTACAGACCGCACTGCGGCATTCATTCCTTGGGAGTCGCCACCACTGGTTAATACTGCCAAACCCTTCCCTTTATGCGAGCCCCGCTCGATAAACCTCTGTGTACCATTTACATCCATGGTAAGGCTGAAAGTTTCGCGGTGTCTGAAATGTTTCACAACTAATTATATGGTTGAATATCCTTTGCTTAAACTACAATTACACTATCAATTGTTATACAAATCACACTGCAAAATGTACTTCTAAATTAACTGTTTTAACACACCAAAATATCCCAGTAAGTACGCTACGTGAATCTTCAATTTGAACTATTTGAATCCTGTGAACTTCACCAAGGCTTATCAAGGTGACCTTTCAATGACAGATAAATACACAGATTCCATAACAGATTCAAGTGGTGTACGAATGGTATGAAATCGTATTTACAATAAACACACTTCGATTTATGGTAGCAAAACGCATAAGTTTCAAAAATATTTCAAATCCGCAATTGTTTTTTTGCACTTGCCTTGCCTTTAAACTAAACGTTTATTTTATTTAGCTTTAAATTTTTTGTAGTTTTTAATTGTAATCTGGCAATTCCGTCCTAACCACAGATTACAGAAGGTACAATAAATACAAATAAAAACATCTCCCATTTCCACTCTATGGGTGCGGCCAGAGTGCAAGTTAAAGCAGAGCCGAGATAGGAGTTTAAAAAAAATACTTTATTTTATAACTTAACCTATAGGTACAACTATTGGCAGCTCCGCGATGGAGGCCGGTTGATATAATAATAATCTAATAAAATTAAATATTGAACGGATGTGTGTTGCAGTGTCAGCGATTCAACGTATGTGGAAATTAATCTGCTGACGCTGTAACATGAATTTAAAGAAAAACAATTTAATTAAGAAATAGCAAAAATTATAGTTAAGGCTAGGACTACACAATTATATTTTAGGATAGGTATACACTAATTATTAGGGGTTTTATCAATGTGCACACATATAACATGCACTCAGATTCAGATTGTGAAAACAAGCGCGAGAAATAAACAGTGTAGTCGAAGGGTACGGCCAGAGTGCACTCCTGATTCAGATTCAGATTCAGACTCGGAAAACAAAGCGCGAGAAAAAGCAGGCAACCTGCTTAAACTACACTGTTTATTTCTCGCGCTTGTTTTCGAAATCTGAATCTGAGTCTGAATCTGAGTGCACTCTGGCCGCACCCTATCACCCTTTTCTACAGTTTGTCTATAAAGTCGTGACATTAAATGATGGCGCCACTAGTATGCATGTAGCAACCCTATACAGTCGGACCAAAATGATTTTGATACTAGCAGTTCATTCAAGTAAAATAGGTAATTAATAAGACACTATACAGTCGTATTTTGTTTCTGTTTTATATATAGTAGGTACCTGTGCTTATAAAAAGTTTAGCCAAGCATATTTAATTGAATCAGAATAAAATTATTATAGATAAAATAGTACTTTATAGTGTAAACGTGTGTAATATTGGTAATTACCGCTGAGGTGCCATTGAGACCATCATACGACGTTTTTTAACACACTTGTTAAGAAAATAATACTAAAAATCATTTTATAGTATATAAAAAGTTTATTTAAAGAAACAATTTGTAAATGTGCAGTTAGTAAAATGAGTGATAGGTATCTTCACTAAAAGCATCTGGCAATGGTTCTTTATGTGACCATTTCTTTCTTTGGTCGGCCTTGCCTGTTTTCCCAAGAGTTTCAAACTTTCCATCATTCTTAAAACCTTCATTGACTATCCGACTCTCTGATTTTCCTGAAAAAAAGTAAAAAATATGTAACGGAATAGAAACAATAATTTATAATTTAATGAAGCAATTAATTCAAAATTGGTAGAAAACCTGACCGAGTTGAAACCATAAGAACGTATCAAAAGAAATGGTCGTACTACAATATTACCTATTTACAATGTCAATCTAACCTAAAAATGTGCAATGTAAACAATGCCTTTTTTGGTCACAAAATCGTAAATTGAGTAAATTTGTAACTTCAGGCAGATTATTACCAACAAATATTTACACGATTACATACCCGTCTTAGATGCTGTTCGCCCATAAACATCATCCAAATCCCACAAAATTCGTCCAGCTTGGTAGTCTTCGAAACATCGCTGGAAAACTTTAAAAATCACTTCCCGCGTGCCACTCCGATTTACTTTACTCATTTTTATACCTTTCTGCGTAGTTTCGTCTTAATTTATAACAGTTTAATCTGAACAATAAAAAACAAAAGGAAAACTGTTCCACAACTGAAACTCGATTACAGCTGATGTACATAAGTTTGGTGTTGCCAGACACATACATAATGTTAGTTCCTCAAACATTCATGTCACGACTTATAGACAAAGGGTGCGGCCAGAGTGCACTCAGATTCAGATTCTGAAAACAAGCGCGAGAAATAAACAGTGTAGTCTAAGCAGGTTGCCTGCTTTTTTTCGCGCTTTGTTTTCTGAGTCTGAATCTGAATCTGAATCAGGAGTGCACTCTGGCCGTACCCTTCGACTACACTGTTTATTTCTCGCGCTTGTTTTCGGAATCTGAATCTGAATCTGAATCTGAATCTGAATCTGAGTGCATTCTGGCCGCACCCAAACTGTAAACGAGCATCTAAATTGAATTCACAGATTATGTTAAAGCATTGAACCGGTAATTATCGGTTTACTCAAATTAGCAATAATTACTTATTATTCAGTGATTTTGACTTATTTTAAGTAATTCTTTGTTGTTCTTTATTATCTTTGAAATGTGGAAACTTAACATAACTTTGTTATTTTACTGCAGAGAAATTATGAATCAATATTAAAGAGTGAATACTTGCGTACTCTGTGGTACTTAGGGTTTCTAGATTGGGAGTGTTTATCCTAATTTTGGGGGAAAAAATAAGAACTTGGAGAAAATAAATCTGCGGGGAGTACTTTAGGAATCATATTTTTCTTAGAAAATGCCAAGTATTAATTAACTAGATGAGTTCGACGGCGCAGACGATTAGCTCGTTCGGCTACGATCGTTGAAGTTAAGCAACTTTCGCAGTGGTCGGTCATTGGATGGGTGACCAAAAATGTTCTATCTCGAGTTCCTCCGTGCTTCGGAAGGCACGTTAAGCCGTTGATCCCGGCTGCATCTGCAGTCGTTAGCACCCGCCGTCGCGGCCCAATCCACACTGGGCCTGCGTGGTGGGTTATGGCCTAATCTCCCTATTTCATTCATAGGGAAGGCCTCTGCCCTAGCAATGGGGACATTAATAGGCTGATGATGATTAGTTAAAACTGCTATGGCCGACACGGTATAACGGGAATCATCCTTGAAAATTTCTCGCATCGTTAATTCACAATCCAGCGCATCTATCTAATACCTACTCGTAGGTACCTACCTACCTATGGTTATAAATTTCGGTTTCAGTAAGAGGTTGTAATTAACCCCTCGTCTGTTTTGTGAAGATTTTATTCTCATTTATTGTATAATCCGAAATGCGTAACTTATTTTTATCTTTTTTGTTTCTATCAGTTTTTGGCGAGATCGTTCCAAATCCCAATTGTTCATTTGGTGAATTTATAAAAACAAACTTTACAATTACAAACAGCAGGTACTATTTCCTGTTTGGTTATTTTAAGAAATATGATTAGCTTATAAAAAGTTGGAAATAAAAACATTTCTATGTAATATTAAAAACTGCTTTATACAAAGAAAACCACAAAGGAACAAATAAAACGTCAAAGTCTAAAGTAGTTACCTACATTAAAGTCAAAACAACATTTGGATTGTGTCGCGCAGAGACTCTGTGGGCATTCTGTGTTGTTGTCTTATTCTATCTTTATACCTAGGGCAATGAAGTATATTAACTACTACCAAATACTGACACATTCTTAAGAGGTTCAACCCGAAACCACACAGAACCACACGTGTTTCATCGTCTGCCTACAACCCACACCAACAGGGTGTACAATGGACTGAGACAGACCGCGATTATTCATACTTTCGGCATTGAACAATTTAAACATGTTACTATACTAGTGCAAGTTATATTAATGTTTCATACCTTATTCTGTCTTGTGTTAAATTTGCTATAGATATCTGCTTCGCTTATTTCAATTTATTCCCATCGTCAATTGTCAATATCATCAAGGAACCTGTATAGAGAAATTATACCATGAATCTCAGAGTTGAAACACTAAGCATGATAATACCTATACATTATATGTACACACACATCAATATTCACATATACATTCACGTCGATTTTCTACTCATTTTACATAACATTTCATGATTGGCATAGGACACTTTCAGCGTATCCTGTTTGATTATCATAAGTCTTTGATCAGGAAGCCAAGGTGTGTCAAGCAACCCTCGCACACACTCTCTTTGGCCTCCCTTGTTCATCGTGGAGCCAAGGTGTGTCAAGCAACCCTCGCACACACTCTCTTTGGCCTCCCTTGTTCAGTCCAGTGCACTCTGACTAACATCCCGCGCAACACCCGCAAGTGTCGCCAGTACAATCGCCAATCCATGTTACAATTGTACTGCTCGTATCATAGGTAAGCCATTCCTCTGGCTAACTTCATCCCGCGCAACGCCCGCAAGCGTTCGCCAGTACAATCGCCAATCAATGTTACGAAGGTACTGCTCTTAATATAGGTAAGTCCCTTTTTTGACTTATCAATCGACACGTGAAATCATATTATACACATCACATGGGCAATAAATAGTAATTAATTGAGTCGGGGAAGATACTTAGCTCTCATATCCAGAATCTCGCAAGCAGCACACATTTCAGCCGGAGTTGAACAGGAAAAGAAAACTTTTCTGACAGGTAAAAAACCGCAGAGCTACGGACCACAGATTAAGTATTAAAATTCGGTTAATGTTACTCACCACAGATTACAGGATTTTGTTGCCATATCCAATATTTACATTTGGCGACTTGGTCACGTTTGCCCGTCGCGACAGATTGCAATTGGTGATTGGAATGCATATCACTGACACCATACCTATTATCTTGTTAATTATTTGACTATGTACTTAAGATATAAGTAGGATCTGTAGGTATTACTTTTTGAATTAGTACATATATTTCTTACCTTTTTAGCTTGTTTTTGTATGAAGTGGATTTTTATTTATGTTATAAAAGATTTTGCCTTAAATTATTTAGTATTTTATACAAGATATACGTGTACAGTACCTACGAAAGACCACAATAGCGCAAGTGTAACGCTTTCATTCTGCGATCGTGAATGTTAAGCAATTTTTACAATGGCAGATCTTAATATGGGTGACCAACCCAAAATGTATTATATCGAGTTCCTATGTTGCTGCTTGCCTTGCTGCATCTGCAGTCGTTAGCCCCCACTAAGCCGCATTAGGCCGTATACAGAAAGAAAGCCGAAAGCCGATCGGCGCCGATTAGCGCCGATCGGCGCTTATCGGCGCCTATTGACGCTGATCCTTTTTCTATGGACCGGCGCCGATAAGCGCCGACACGCGCTGTTCCGAATAATAAATAATTTGTATTTGAATTATTATCCTTAGATTAAATCAATCTAAGTTATAATCTTTTTATAAATCTAATAACTTTATCTTTTATTAACTAAGCTCTAAAATTATTTGTTTCGTACTTACCGAATGGTGACAACAAGTCTTTCTTCTGGAAGGATTGGTTGTTTATGCCAATTGCCCCAATTTTTCATCAAACGGTTTTTCACTAAATCCAAAATGTAATAAAATGTTTCTTGAATCATTCTTGTATATGTATAAAATCTTTGTTCATCAATTTTTTTTTTTTTACAAATAAATGATGGTATTCTCCGAAACGTTTCCTTTCTCTATTTATAGGATGTATAGCTGTTTTTCGCATTTTTAAATAAATATTTTCTAACAAAACCAAATCATCGTCCGATGAGTCCGACATTTTGCTTGATCTGCTTTAATCGGCTTCCTTTATGTAGGAAGGATTAGCGCCGATCGGCTTTCGGCTTTCTTTCTGTATACGGCTTTAGGCCATGACACATTAATAAGCTTATAATAAATCCGCATCGTAACATAGACTTACCTACCTTTTTAAAAAAATTAAAAGATCTAGCTAATATATTATTATCACCGTCGTCGTTCATTATTGTATAAAAATGTCTTTTTTTAACGAAATAAACCCATATCCAACCTTAAAATCAAGTTCAAAACCTAAGTACAGCAATCATTTACGTGATATTTGGCCCCAATTATGCACATTTTTTAGAGAGGACGTCCGTAGGTCCTTTTTGAATTTAGTGTGACATTTCTAATTTCAGAGAAAATATGACATTTAGAACGCGTTTCAGAATACCATTTAAGCATCTAAATCTAAGTTGAAGTCAATTTTAAATTTAGAAATAGTGTGTCATTACAGAATACCAAATTGAATTTGACAACTCTATATCTAATTTTAGTTAGTTTTAGATATAAGTTGGCACGCCAGAATTGGGCCCAATGTCCTCTATACACCCTACTTGCTCAGTGACCCTACCCTAATCTGTGATCCAAAAGCATAAAAGTCAAGAGTGAATTTAGTGTTAGATTATTTACAAAACAAGTATGATTATATCTACATAAAATGTATTTTATTACCAAATTAATAAAACCATTGTTATAAATTTTAGCGTTGATTAGAATCGTGTTTTGATTTCTAAAGTTATTAAACATAGACGCACAATGTCTGCTGAATCTGATATGGAATATTCGGACAATGATGGCGATGATTATGACTATTACGGGGGGCAAGATGACTGTGACATGGAAACTATAGATCGAAGCAAGTCTGATCCTGAATATTTCTTGTATTCATGCCTTAAGGTTGAAGAGGTAGAGAAATTGTTGAATGAATCGATTGAATTGCTCAGCAACAGCCTTCAAGTCACGCCTTCACTTGCCAAGGTTTGTTCTTAGTTATTGTCATTAAAGTCGATCAATAGCACAGTTTTTTTTAAAATCTCAATTTCTATAAAATATTCTTGCCTCAGGTGATGTTACATACTTACGAATGGAATGCTCAAGACATAATAAATAAATATAAAGAAAATGCAATCGAAGTGTTGGTGTATAGTCGTGTGAAACCTCGCGTACCAACTCTACAAGGCAGTTCAAGCCGTACTGCTTGTGCCGTTTGTGCTAATATTCCACCTATCCACAACTACAGTGCTCTAGCTTGTGGTCACTATTTCTGCAATGATTGTTGGGCTATGCATTTTGAAGTACAAATTATGCAAGGTAAGTTTTTAAAATGATCTACACTCTTCATTGTATTCTGAATCTAAAAAATGTTGTATTTTATTTATTTATGAAGTTTGTGTATTAGAGATATGTTGAAAATGATGGCATAAAGATGTTTGCTTACTGTTTGCTCAAATTTTTTTTTTGAATATGTAAAACAAAAAAATATAATTTCATTAAAAAGTGTGCATGGACCATATTATAACACACAACCAAAAACACAAGACAGTATTATATTTTATACTGTCTGTGTTTGGTGATCTTGCATGATGTTTATTTATCTTTAACAAAGTTTCTACAGTGATGTTCCAGGTTTAACAGTACATCACCAAATAGATAACAACTGTAGTGTTACACTGAGCCTTATCCATAAAAAATAATAGTTAAAAAACATGATTTTGCTGCCATAATGAACTGAAAAGTAAAAAACAGGTAGAAAAAACTCATTGCAATAGAGTAATAGGAGAGGTTTCCAGTCTGCAATAACTGTTTTGCATTTGTAAATGTACAAGGTATAATTTTAGTTCCTGCAGCACGAAAATGCCACTGCACAAGCAAGTGGCATTTTTTTTGTTCTTTAATCATTACAATAGGGATATCAAATTAAAGGGTTTGTTGAGCACATTTATAACTATATAATTTCTATCCTATAAATATCAGAATAGAAACTCCCATAACCCATTTTTAAAAGCATTAAACTACCAAAATAATATATAAAAAACCTAATTTGAAAGTGCTATGACTTATTTGAATTAGTTACATTTTATTTGGCAAAGCAGTTGTTATTTATATATATATATAATTTGTGCATGTTATGTGTTGTCAGAAAATAATTCTTCTCTCTTTACTTGTAGTTGCTCTGGTTGACTTGTAAGTTTGTGAATGATTTGTAAGTTTTTCATCCTATATATTAATTTAAACATTATTATTCTAGGTGTATCCAATACAATACAATGTATGGCTCAAGAGTGTGAAGTGAGAGCTCCTGAAGACTTTGTATTATCCCATGTTCCTAAACCTACATTAAGAGAACGCTATCAACAGTTTATGTTCAAAGATCATGTTAAGTCACATCCTCAATTAAGATTTTGTCCAGGTCCTAATTGTCAGGTATTACAAAAAATATTTAAAATTCTAAATTTATTGGTGCATTAGGTAATTGAAACTGATAGTTAAACTTTTATGTATAGTGGATCTTCAGAGCATGGGTTCGAGAAGGACCCCGCAGGGTTGAATGCCATGGCTGTGAGTTGCTCACTTGTTTCTCATGCGGTGCCCCACATCATGCTCCAACTGACTGCGCTACTATACGACGGTGGTTAACTAAGTGTGCAGATGATTCAGAAACTGCTAATTATATCAGTGCACATACCAAGGTCAGAAGATATTCGTTTTCTGATACTATTTTTACTTTGTACATTTAATAAATTTAACGAAACTATATTTTCAGGATTGTCCAAAATGTCAGATATGCATAGAGAAAAATGGTGGCTGCAATCACATGCAATGTGGTGCTTGTAGGCATGATTTCTGTTGGGTTTGTTTGGGGGATTGGAAAGCGCATGGTTCTGAATATTATGAATGCAGCCGTTATAAAGAAGACCCAAATTTGGCTAATGATAGTCAACATGCCCAGGTAGATACAATATAGATTGTTTTTTAAGTAATAGTAGTAATAAAATGCAATTCAATTTAAGTATTGGTGATTATGGCAGAGTCTCAATGTGTGACGATTATGCCAATGTTTAGTTTGAATTCAGCAAACTACCAGACCAGACTGTTAATAAATGTTATTTGTGTATGTAAGGAGTGTGTTCATTATAACAAAATTAACATTTTAGGCACGTGAGGCACTGAAAAAATATTTACACTATTATGAGAGATGGGAGAATCATGCGCGATCTCTAAAGTTGGAGGAACAGACTTTGGCAAATCTCAAGAGTCGTATAAACCAAAAGGTTAGAATTTTATCTAAAACGTGTGCCAGTATTGTTGAATACTAGTGATAAGAATGGCCCAGCGTCCATAATAACGACCAAAATTTCCAACTTTCAGGTCATGGCTGGTGAAGGTACATGGATTGACTGGCAGTATCTTTGGGATTCAGCGAAACTTTTAAAACGTTGTCGATACACTCTACAGTACACTTATCCTTTCGCTTATTATATGGAGGTTGGCCCGCGAAAAGAGTTATTTGAATACCAGCAGGTGAACATTTTAATTTTAGGCAATTTGTCAAAATAGTTTACCTTAAACATTGAGTGCCGTTTTCAACTTTTCGACAAAAAAAGTAAAAGTCTATCGACGTAAAAGGCGTTTCCGAAAATTGCTGCTTTTATGACCATTCAATGCTAATTATGACGGTGCGTCGTTGAGGTGTAGCTATGAATGAGCAAGGTATATATGGCTTGCAATTTTGTTGAATTTTTTTCATCCCGCATTTACATATTACTGCGAATTGAAATCAAATTAAAAACTCACGAGGCGAATGGCGAGCCGACCTCGCATATGTAAACAGTGCGCTCGCTATTCGCCTCGCGATTCGCGCGTTCGTGTTGGGAGCGGTTTTTTCGGACGTGAGCCCTTGACGTGCCCTTTGAGGGCACGAATGGCGAGCACGAGCTGTGAATGTTTACACATTCACCTGCACTCAGTTGACAGCTGGCGCCCGACCCAACAGGACGTGTAGACAAAGTGAAGTCTCTCTCCACTTCACTTTGTCTACACGCGAATGTGCGAAAGTGCGAATTTTAGAATTCCTAGACTTATTAAAAGCAGGACTCATTTAGAACCCAAAACATCGCAATCATAAAAATAGACAAAAGATAAACGATGCATTATCTTTTAAATATTACTTAGTAGAAAATATGTATAATTTACCATAATGTGTACATTAAATTTTTTTTGCACATTTACATTTCTCTATTGTGACACGCTATCATCTACCATCGTCGACGGTTCTGTTTAGGGTTTCGTACCCAAAGGGTAAAAACAGGACCCTATTACTAAGACTCCACTGTCCGTCTGTCTGCCACCAAACTGTATCTTATGAACCGTGATAGTCTAGCTATCACGGTTGAAATTTAAAATAGAATAAAATAAATATTTAAGGGGGGATTGCTCTATTTAAATAACAGCAACAGGTAGACGCTAGTCACAGAATGTGTAGTTGCATATTCACTTTAAAAATAATTAATTAAAATAAAATAAATATTTCGAAGAGCTCGATGGCGCTTTCGGTGGTCGGTTCATTGGTTGGTCATTGGATGGGTGACCCAAAACTAATTATCTCGAGGCACAGCTTTGGAAGGCACGTTAAGCCGATCCTAACCAATCCGCACTGGTCCTGCTTGGTGGGTCACGGCCCAATCTCCATATTCCATCCATAAGGAAGCCATGTGCCCCTGAGGTGGGCTCATTAAATAGGCTAATGATGAAAAGAAATATTTAAGGTCGTCCCATACAGCAGATGTTTTTTGATCAATATTATAGTATCTTATGTTGTTTTTAGGATATCTATTATCTATACATATAATGAAATGGTAGGAAAGTCAAACTGTACATTGAATATTTTTTTAAAAGAATACTTGGGGTGTGATCTACTATTGATACCAAAGCCAAAAATATAGTTTTCAGAATTTTTGTCTGTTTGTCTATATGTATGTACGGGATAAACTCAAAAATGACTGCATGGATTTACTTCAAAATTGACACAAATATTATTAAGAAGTCGTGTCAACATATAGACTAAATAAATATTATCACGAAACCACCCCTAAGGGGGTAATACGGGGGTTGGAAGTTTGTATTAAAGTCCTATGTTTTTGAAGTAAGAGACTTGAAATTTAACATGTATGCTGTATATATGGTGTGGAGGTGTACTAATAATGTATCTTTAGAAATAAACCCCCTTTTGGGGTTAAAAAAGTATGTGCAAATTACTATATAACTCCACGCGTACGAAGTTTTCATCCGTGCGGTGACGGAGAAAGAATACAACTCACCGCCCCTTCTCTTCCCGTGGGTGTCGTAAAAGGCGACTAAGGGATATCGGAGCTTCCATCCGCTCCTCTGGTGGTAGGGTGCCTAACACCCGCCTGGTTTGCTACCACCGTGCGCATGGTGAAAAACCCGTGAAGTGCTTCTCGCGCGTTTCGGGGTCAGCCAGCGTACAACCAGGGCTCGAGTGGAGGTTGTCGCGACGGATTCGGTCCAGGGCGAGGCATCCGTCGAACCGATGCCGGGAGGACTGCATCGACCCGTCGGCCAGGGAGACCCGTAGAAACGGCTGTCCCGCTGGCCGCCCGTGGCACAGTACAGGGGCCCGAGCGTTCCTAACCAGTTCGCGAGGCTGCCCCATCATGTCACGCATAATCTCGGGGTGGACCGTCGTGCCGGTTGGTGACCGGGGCGTGGGGTCCCGGCGGCCACTTCCGGGGGGGTGCGGGGGCCCTTCCGTCCGGCGGGTCGGCGTATATCCTCTGCAGGCAATCATTCGGGGAAACATGCCTTCCTAATTTGCCCGGTCTTGTCGCGACAAAGTCTACTCGTTTCACGTCTCTTTTTTACTTCCATAATGGCAGCTCTTAAAACAAAGTTTGGACGTTCAGCGGTGCACACCCCCACGCCTTCAACGCTGTTTGAGGTCGAGTTCTGCAACATACGCGGACTCCACTCTAACCTCAATGCTGTCCACCACCACCTTGAGACAGCACGGCCAGCATTGTTGTTCCTGACGGAGACACAAATACTTCCGCCTGCTGACACAGGCTACCTTAACTATCCCGGCTACGTGCTTGAAGAGTCCTTCAAAGCGAAAGCCGGTGTATGCCTGTATGTTCGGGCGGATGTTTGTTGTCGCCGTCTCCGCTGCTTGGAAGATCCCACCTTCTCCATATTGGGGGTATACGTCGACTCAGGTCCCCAGGCCAGAGTCTACGTGTGCCTCTACAGATCCCATACTGGTGATGTTGAGACAACTCGACTTTTCGAACATCTTAGTCGGGCAGCAGATGACGCGCAGGAGCAATTTCCCAATGCAGAATTGGTGTTTTTGGGGGACTTTAATGCTCACCACAATTTGTGGTTAAGTTCCTCGAAAACTGACCATGCAGGGATCTCTGCTCACGCGTTCGCTCTCACGCATGACTTGGAGCAACTGGTTGATCAGCCCACCAGGATTCCAGATATTTCAAGTCAAGCGCCTTCATTGCTAGACCTTCTGCTCACGACCCATCCACAGGGCTATCAGGTTGTGGTAGGAGCCCCCCTGGGCTCTTCAGATCACTGCCTGATATCTGCCAAAGCGCCACAGGCTAAACCTCCGCGTCCAACGGTGGTAAAACGCCGGATCTGGCACTATGGGTCAGCAGATTGGGACGGTATGCGTGACTACTTTGCGTCCGTCCCTTGGAAGCAGCGCTGCTTCAATGACCAGGACCTATCGGCCAGCGCCGTTGCTATTACTGAGGAGATTGTAATGGGTATGGAATACTATATTCCTCATTCCAATCTCATCAGTAAGGGCACACGTAACCTCTGGTTCAATCACGACTGTGCTGAAGCTGCTTCGCGTAAGCAAGCGGTATATCGTGCTTGGATCAGAGGTCGCGCTCCTAAGGATCCCGGGGTCGATTCACTAAAAGCAGCCTACAATATTGCTTCCAAGGCCTGTAAGAAGGCATACATCAGAGCGGATGCCCAGCGCGTTGCACGTGTTGGTCACGAACTTATAACGCATCCTACGGGCTCCCGTAGCTATTGGCGTTTGGCCAAGGCCGTGCAAAAGAACTTCTGCCAGCCCTCGCTGCCACCTCTGAGATGTCCAGACGGAACACTAGCTCATAAGCCGCAGGAGAAAGCCGATTTACTGGCAAAACTCTTTGCGGCTAACTCCCGAATCGATGATTGCAATGCACTGCCACCATTATTACCTCATTGTGGCACAACGATGCCTGATATCAAAATCAGGCAGCGTGAGGTTCGTGCCGAATTGCAATCACTCGACGTCCGGAAAGCTAGTGGATCTGATGGCATCCCAGCAGTAGTATTGAAAAAATGTGCAGCGGAGTTGTCTCCCGTGCTCACGCGTTTGTACCAGTGCTCGTATTCTTTGGGGCGTGTGCCGGAGACTTGGAGAAATGCTAACGTGCAACCGGTACCCAAAAAAGGGGATCGCTCAGACCCGGCAAACTACCGGCCAATAGCAGTCACCTCAGTATTATGTAAAGTCCTAGAAAAGGTCCTTAACAACCATCTGACCCGCTACCTAGAGGATCACTCCCTGATTAATGATCGTCAATATGGTTTTAGACCGAAACGATCGACGGGTGATCTTCTAGCGTACTTGACTCATATCTGGGGTGAGGCTATCGACAAGCGGGGCGAGTCGTTGGCTATCAGCCTAGACATTGCCAAGGCATTCGACAGGGTCTGGCACAAAAGCCTTCTCTCCAAGCTTCCGGCATACGGTCTGCCGGCCCAGTTCTGTTCTTGGGTAGCTGACTTCCTGCATGAGCGTAGAATTCGTGTCCTTACGGATGGTAACAGTTCGCGGTTCATGTCAGTGAATGCCGGCGTTCCCCAGGGCTCCGTCCTATCCCCCACTCTCTTTCTGCTGCATATCAATGACCTAATTCCTCTTGGGAATATTCATTGCTATTCAGACGACAGTACAGTGCATGCGGGGTATCTCGGACAAGCAGCGGCTGGGCAGGCGGTAACCAAGGAGAAACGGGAGAATCTTGTCATTGAACTCAATCAGGCTTTGGACCACATTTCTGAATGGGGTACCAAGAACTTGGTTGAGTTCAATGCTAAGAAAACCCAGGTCTGCGCTTTCACGGCAAAAACGTCGCCATTCCTTTTATGTCCTTCTCTTCAGGGCACAACACTGGAGCTAGAGAGCAGTATCACCATGCTCGGTATGGAGATTCGCTGTGACTTAAATCCAAAAAATTACATCGAAAGTGTGATAAAAACAGCCTCACGCAAACTCGGAGTCCTGAACAAGGTGCGGCGTTTTTTCACGCCCGAGCAACTATGCTTGTTATATAAGACGCAGGTTCGATCTTGCGTGGAATATTGCTCGCACCTCTGGGATGGCTCCGCCAAGTACTTGCTCGATGCTTTGGATAGGTTACAGCGGCGCGCAATACGCATCATAGGTGATGAGGAGGTGTCTAAACACCTCGAGCCTCTTCAATTACGCCGTGACGTGGCGTCACTAAGCGCGTTCTATCGTCTGTACCACGGCGAGTGTTCTGAGGAGTTATTCTCTCTTATTCCACCTTCCCCTTTCCTTCAGAGGACCACGCGCGCTGGCTTACGTTGTCACCGTCTAACTGTGGCTACAATTCCAACGCGTACAAGGAAATTTGGTGACTCATTTATTTGTCGTACTATCCGTAAATGGAATGCTCTGCCCGCTCACGTGTTCCCTCCCTCTTACAACCTGGGATCCTTTAAAAGAGGCGTGAAGAAGCAACATGCAGGCCGGCAGGGTGAGGATGGCTGGTGTGGCAGGTAGAACTGCTGTATCAGCTATCTTCGCGTCTGGACTTCACCTCCACTTAACATCAGGTGGGGTGGAGTCATTTGTCGGACCTATCTATAAAAAAAAAAAAAAAAAAAGTCGCGGGGGCCGCTAGTAATTGTATAAGCTCAATAGATATAGCGCGCATGCCGCCCTTATTTCAAGTTCTCCATGTCCGTGTGCGAGTGTCAAAATGATTCACCCCGCGAATGTGTGACCCGTAGCTCGTCACGGCACTCTGTTTCGTCGAGTGACGAGGCGAATGGCGAGCACGATTGTGTAAATCCGTAATAATTTTCTATGTATATTTCTAACACTCGCATTAATTAGCCTAACCCCATGGTAAGCACTATAAGGCTTTTGTAATGGGATACTGTGGTAATAGATAGAAATTCGTATTACACGGACGTGACAGGATACTTTAAACTTTTAATATGTAAGGATGATTTTAGGCTCAGCTTGAGGCAGAAATTGAAAATCTGTCTTGGAAGGTGGAGCGTGCAGAGACTACTGATCGTGGAGACTTAGAAAATCAAATGGATATAGCCGAAAAGAGACGTACAACATTACTCAAAGATTTTCTAGACATAAATGTTGCTTCTAGTAGCAGTAAAGTATAAATATTGACCTCGAACTTGCATTTTATATTCACAAAATATCCTCAATCAGTATGTTGTGTATAATGTACTTGTAAAAGCTAGATTTTTCTTTCTGCCAAAGTATATTTATTAACACGAATTTGCAATAAAATAGAGTAATAAAAATGTTATTTTTATTAATATATATCGCCTCCCAATATTACTTATGGTATAAAAAATGTACCTACCTACACTATCATTACTTATAGGACATCGGCCAAATCATATTTGGATCAGAGTTGAACTTCCAGAATAGACATTTTTACTAATATTATTAATTAAATATAAACAGTTTCGGCGTGTTGTAATTGATATAATTAAAAGCCGAGTAAAAAAAACTGCATTGACTACCTTAAACACCGTATAAAATAAAATCTGCATGGTCAACCTAAATAGGTACTCATTCATAATCCCATCCTCTACTGTCAGATGGTCATAATACTATCAAAGGGCTTCACGCACTATCCATCCGTGTTGGATCCAGTGTGCGAGACAGCGCTTTACATGTAATAGAGATTCTGTCTGTATCTACATCATTTTTACGTGGATTGCGATGTCTCGCACATTGGATCCAGCAGGATGGATAGTGCGTAGCGCTCTTCACACAAGTTAAATTATAAATAAATAATATAATAAATATTTCCGACACTCACACCAATTAGCCTAGCCCCAAAGTAAGCACTATAAGGCTTGTGTTATGGGATGCTAGGGTAACGGATAGAATACATATACTGTACATATATAAGTATATTTATATAAATACATATTAAACATCCATGACTGGAGTACAAATGCTCGTATTCATCACACAAACATCTGCCCCCACCGGGATTCGAACCCGGGACCTCTCGAGTCTGCGACAGCCATGAAACGCGGCGTACAAACCACTCGGCCACGGAGGTCGTCAATTCCAATTCAATTAATAACTTAGAAACATAAAACAAAAAGAGAAGATACGGTACGCTCATTAAATTAAAATATGCTTCGACTCTACTACATAAGCAACTCTAACACACGCATACTTCTTTAAATAAACATTCAATCGAGCGAGTGAGACAGAACAGTACCCTTAGCAAGCAAATCGAATATCCAATATCGCTTGCGAGTCCGAAATGTGATCATCAAATTTTGTATGGAAACGAACAGCAGCGCCACAACGGACATAATGAGAAATAAAATTTAGTACACATTTGACAATGACATTTCGGACTCCCAGACAGCACACTATTCGAATTCGATATTGGTTCATTATTGTACGCTTTGTCAAATTTTGTATGGAACCACAACGGACGTAACGAGAACTAAAAATTAGTACGAGAACGAGATAAAAGACCCCTGTTGAGACTATCTCACCTAGCTTGTGTTGACCTTACCTACTATTTCAAAAACAGGACTTAATCTAGTCCTGTTTTTTAAATGGTAGACCCGGTGACGCTCTATACGTCATCTGCGACCAACAGCATCCACTCTCAAAAAAAAGGACTTGACCTATGCTTATCACCGATAAAGCGGTACCAGTGAGAGATTTTAACAGAGTTCTTTTATCTATTTTTAGTAGGACCAATGGGTCATCGAGTTTCAGTTGTGGAACAGTTTTCCTTTTGTATTTTTTATTGTTTGGATTAAACTGTAATAAATTAAGACGAAACTACGCGGAAAGGTATAAAAATAAGTAAAGGAAATTGGAGTGGCACGCGGGAAGTGATTTTTAAAGTTTTCCAGCGATGTTTCGAAGACTACCAAGCTGGATGAATTTTGTGAGATTTGGATGATGTTTATGGGCCAACAGCATCTAAGACGGGTATGTAATCGTGTAACTATTTGTTTGTAATCTGCCTGAAGTTACAAATTTACTCAATTTACGATTTTGAGACCAAAAAAGGCATTGTTTACATTGCACATTTTTAGGTTAGATTGACATTGTAAATAGGTAATATTGTAGTACGACCATTTCTTTTGATACGTTATTATGGTTCAACTCGGTCAAGTTTTCTAGCAATTTTGAATTAATTGCTTCATGTCAATAAGTTATTGTTTCTATACCGTTACATATTTTTTTTACTTTTTTTCAGGAAAATCAGAGTCGGATAGTCAACGAAGGTTTTAAGAATGATGGAAAGTTTGAAACTCCTGGGAAAATAGGCAAGGCCGACCAAAGAAAGAAGTGGTCACATAAAGAACCATGGCCAGATGCTTTTAGTGAAGATACCTCTCACTAATTTTACTAACTGCACATTTACAAATTGTTTCTCTAAATAAACTTTATATACTATAATATTAATATTATATATAACTTTTTATATCATGCGTCGCACGCGCTAGCGAGTGGTTGACTCACGTGTGTGCTAATTGCAAGTGTCCGTGATGCTAGCGTACCCATGATCAATATACGGTTTTTCGTTATGCCATTAAATACTGCGTAAATAGTGCCAAATTAGTGTAAAAATAAAAAAAATAGTGCCTCTTTAATTTAAGAAATAAAGACCATTTTTACTGTGTACGCTACCATGACGTCAAGCTAGCGTACCCATGGCCGACCCCAAGAACGGCATATATTTAAGCAACAAAATTGACACACAAAAATAGTTCGCAAATAGTGCCCTGGCTTTACAAAATTTCATAATCAATACTCTTAAAGGACCAAAGATATTGAACTAAACATTCTTAGCTGGCGTCAACCTGGGCGTACCCATAATAGTTCTCATAGAAAATTAACTTTTCTTGTTATCAATTCTATATGTATAAATAGTGTGTCAAATAGTGCCTCTAACAGTAAAAGTATTTTATGTTAATTCGCAGTAAAACGAGAAAAGTTCATTTTCTATGAGAATTATTATGGGTACGCCAGGTTGACGCCAGCTAAGAATGTTTAGTTCAATATCATTGGTCCTTTAAGAGTATTGATTATGAAATTTTGTAAAGCCAGGGCACTATTTGCGAACTATTTTTGTGTGTCAATTTCGTTGCTTAAATATATGCCGTTCTTGGGGTCGGCCATGGGTACGCTAGCTTGACGTCATGGTAGCGTACACAGTAAAAATGGTATTTATTTCTTAAATTAAAGAGGCACTATTTTTATTATTTTTACACTAATTTGGCACTATTTACGCACTATTTAATGGCATAACGAAAACCCGTATATTGATCGTGGGTACGCTAGCATCACGGACACAATTGCAATTACCTTAAGAGCACGGCAAAATATCGTCAAATATTGTAAAGTGCACGGGTTGTAATATAGTGATAAACGAAGTGTTATCGTTTGTATCTAATAAAATTGATATAATGGATGAGGAAAGTATTAATCGAATTTGTGTAAGTGCCTTCACGGAGACTGAAATAGTCAACGCAAAAAACTTGCTGTATGACTCGATATCGACAGCAAAGGGTAAGAAAACTCGAAAAAGGGACGGGAAAAGGCTACGTGCTATAGATGGCATCATACATTTATTGAAAAGGACAGATCCAGAAGAAATACCAATTTTTGTTGCACGGGACCTTCATAAACTTCCGCCCGTGTTATTTGATCACGTAGACGTTACTCGGTTGCTTAAAGATATTGTTTTGCTAAAAAGTGAAATTACCGAAATAAAGGGTAATTATGCTTCAAGTAATCAATTGGCATTGTTGAAAGCGGATCTTGAATGTTTGAAAAATGCTGCCGTAATTAATAATTTTCCATGCAATGTCAATATGAAGAAGCGAGGCGCATTCAGAAGTGAAAACTGCGATTATGTGGAGGTAATAGTAATCCGATAGCATTAATGCCAGATTCAATTGAGCAAGAAAAAAGGAACAATACATTGATCGCCGCAAAAGGAGGGTGTTTGTGAAAAATCTGTAGTAACGGCCGCGGTTGCTAACAGGAGAAGCTCGCTGCCGCCGCCGTCGCAAACCGGTTCGATGATGAGTCATTCAAAACAGCTGTTCGACACAACAATATCTAACGCATCTGAACCGCTTCCAGTACAAGCGCCTATTACTTCTTATAATTCTGAACAAGTGCAACCAATTCGGACGATGGCGGACATTGCTCGCACAGGCGAATGGAAAAAACAGCAGCCTAGCCATGAATGGATTTTGGTACAGAAGCATAAACTGAGGAATCGCTTTATTGGTAAAGGAGGAGCAGCAATTACGAACTCTGAAATTAACTTTAAGGCCGCAGAAGTAACTTTTACTTTTACACCATTGTATGTGTATAATGTGTCAAAGAATGTCAATACAAGTGACATTGTGAGCTATATCAAAAATAAAACGGGACTATGTGCATGTGTGGAGAAAAACACAATGAAGCTAGACAAAGATCATAATGGCTTTAAGGTGTTTGTGCCCAAGCATAAATTGGACATTTTTATGAGTGATGATTTCTGGCCCGAAGGTATAATTTATCGTCGATATATAGATTTCAAACAGAAGAGAGCACCGAGAAATGACTGAATATTAAAAATAAATAAAAATGAACACTACCACAACTAAATTAATTACCTTTAATTGTAAAGGTGCATTTCGATCAATGGACTGTATCCGGAGATTGTGTCAAACTGCGGATGTGATTGCCCTACAAGAGACTTGGCTCCTACCACATGATATTCCATCTCTGGTTGATATTAACCAGGATTTTGCCTACACCGGAAAGTCAGCCGTCGATACGTCGAAAGGCATACTGCGTTGAAGGCCGTACGGCGCGGGCGGTGTGGCCATATTATGCCCCCCCCCCCCTGCCCTCCGTTAAAAGAAAAACAATAAATTTTATTACAATTGTAAACATAAAAAGGACATGTTAATTCACAAAGGACAATGGGCAAAACGCACCCAGCTCCGCCAACAATGTAATTAGTATGGATCGATAGATCTGTGAAAAACTAGCTTTTTTTATTATGGCACCAAAAAAAAATATCTTGGGAGTCAAAAGATATACACGTGGGCATCTTCTATGTTAGGGGTTAAAGTTCCCGCACATAGTCCTTAAAGAGGACCATTGTGTGTAAGTCATAGGGACCGGTTACACACGGGCATATTTTAATATCTAAAGAAATTCATTCAATATCAATAGTACTTTCGTTTTATAATATTAGCCATAATAATATGAGTCATA